ACCGATCAAGTCCAAACTTGGCACACAAAACCCCCATGACCAACTCTCCATCCTGGAGCAGTTTGGAGGGGGATGGACCACAGATAATGGGACTCACAGTAACTTCACTAACTTCCTGAGACAACTGCGAGTCATATAAATAACTGATAAAGACCAACCTTGATACACAATTCCTTTCTCAAATAACCCGGGCAGCGCCGGGTCCCCAAGCTAGTCTTACATAAATAAAAATGTAATGTTCGTTTGTGGGATTAACATAACTCAAAAACCACTGGACGAATTGACACCCAATTTGGACACAATACACCTATCAGGCCAACAAGTGACCATCACTCAGAAAAACACAGCAGAAGGGACTTAAAAAGCCAAAAAAAAATTACATTACAACATATGCACATAACCACATAAATACACATATACACACACATATATATACACAAACAAAACACATATACACAGACTGGGCCACAGCAACACGTGGCAGAGGACGGCTAGTGTGTGTGTGTATGTATGTATGTATGTATGTATGTGTGTGTTTATGTATGTGTGTGTGTGTATATAGGAGATTTCCAAGATGGCTCCTACTTCCAGAGAGCGCAGTGACTCCCATTGATTAGGGATCTGGACCAAACATGGCACACAGACTACCATGATCTCAGTCCATCTGTATGGTAATCAAGACCCATGCTTTCCCATGTATCAGTTAATAAAGCAAATCAGGGAATCCCCAAAAGAATATTTCCCCAAGGTTGTATCCCAATTCTCACCTGAGTAACTCTTATGGAAGACTCGCATATCTGGCAACCATGGGTATTCGCCTTGTTCCAGACAAGAGATGAGGGTAGGCTTGGAAGCTGGAAAGCCTTGACAGAAAACAAAATATTAAAAAATCACCATCCTGAACTTTTAAAGGACTTTTGTAAAGCACACATCATTATCCAAGCTCCCTCATTGAACTGCCAGCTTCTTGTGGTGAGAGGGCTTGTGCATTCCAGTGAATCTGTGAATGAAGCCATCAGGAATGATGCACTCCTAGCAGGGTCACTCATGGCACCAAGATCACAGGGGAGGAACCAAACATTGAATCCAAAGAAAACCTCAATGCTGGAGCAGGGGATTGATAAACTGGCACATGTTACATTGGTTGTGATGGTGGACAAAAGCTACAACAGATAAGAGGCCATTGTGTTAACCATGCCACTGGATCAGAACCTCTTTCTGTAAAACTCCCCACCAGTGTGGAAATCACCTATTGCACAGATGCATAGTCTTTAACCTCAGCAGGCTGAAACCCAAAAGTAAAGTCACAACTACTTCTGTTATATAACTTCAATATGCTGATGATAACATAGTCATAATATTTTATGATTGTTTAAATCCATATAAATAAAAATGTAATGTTCGTTTGTGGGATTGACATAACTCAAAAACCACTGGACGAATTGACACCAAATTTGGACAGCATATACCTAACAACCCAATGTATGTCCTTCACTCAATTTTTTTTTGATTT